TTCGCGCCAGCGTCCAGTCACGAGACCAAGACTGCGCACTCACTGCTGCCACTGACCGGACGCGCCGGTCCTACCGAGGCCAGCGTCCGATCAGTTATGCGAAACCCTATCTTTTTTGTATAGGACGCTGGTGGCACCATCGGACTGTCTGCACTCTACGGGCGGACACTCCGCCAGTGGAGTTTCGAACCTTTCTCGCCTCTGTTCCATCGCCGAGTTAATTCACATCAACTCCAACTTCATCTCCTTTATAAATGTGCCAACACCACTAAGTGTACACCACCATATGTATGTGTGCTAGCATTTTCACAATCATTTTCCAAAGAATTAGCCACTCAACTTGCCACGCCACTCAATCCTAGCGACGATTGAAAGTTAGATCACTCGAGTGGCACTAGATAACCGATATGCAAACAAGTTTACCCCTCTTGATAGTACGGCCATCTATCCTAAACCCGGTCATAAACTTCTCTACACACCTATGGCCGGTGAAATGAAATGCCCTAGGTTATACCTTTGCCTTGTGCATTCCATTCAATCTCCTCCAATGTCGATGCAACACATGCACCAACACAATCAACAATGATATGATCAACTTCATATCATCACGTGATCATATTGGTTCATCGATCTTGACTTAACTTGCTTTTCACCGTTGCCTTCGTCCATCGGCGCCAAGTCTTGCTTTAGCTTCACCGCCACGCGGTCCATCGCTCCAAAGCCTCCAACTTGCCCTTCACGCTTGCAACCGGTCCATCAAGCCAAGTCATGTCTTAATCTTCTCCACCTTGATCACATGACTCAATGTCATGTCTCATTTGCAATGAGCTCCTTTATCATCACATGTGTGAGCTTTGCAACATCTCTAAGCCATTTTCACCTTCATGGCATATGTTGTTCACACACATGTACCTGTGGACTAATCACCTGTGTATCTCACATAAACACAATTAGTCCACCTAGGTTGTCACTTAATTACCAAAACTATACAAGGACCTTTCAATGGGGCGGTCAATGGCCGCGGCGACCGCTGACATGGCAGGGCCGACGTGCCGTGCATCATGGCGCGGCACCGATCATGGCACGGTGGTCAAAGCGGCAGCAAATGTAGCAAGGCACTTCTGTTATGTTCTCACATGAGCCAAGTTATTTTGTCGTGTTAGTTTAATGAATAGGTCAGCAGGAAGGTTAAGTTCACGAGACAATCAATACACAAGTTTAGCAATACTAACTTGTACACGTCCCAAGTTCATCGCAAGTTCGATAATACCTCTGTTCGATATAAGTTCAACAAGTCATAACTACGACACAAGTTCATCAATACATAAGTTCGACATTACTCGACATACTACATATTCCATCAGTATATGGGTGTCTGAGTACAAGTGCATCATGTCATCCTAAAGAACTCATACGACCCAGGAGTATATGTATACCGCAGACGTTGCTGCCTCTTCGGACGTGAAGGCAGCACGTTAGGGGTGAACCCCAACGTCGGTACGGTCTCGCTGGCGGTACACCCGGCGGCACTGCTGAGTGTAACTAGAACCTTGCAATTACAATATAGACATCATTACTTGCAATGTTTAAGTAATTGTGACGTATATGGCGAAGGGCTGTTTCAAGTATCTGTTCGTCGAACTGTGTAGAAAATGGTGCATCAGACATCCCAATCTCATCGTAGTCCTCCTCCTCGTCCTCGCCCTCCTCAACGTCGTGCTCTGCAGGACCCTTGCCTGCACCGCTAAGTTAGTGGTTGTATGTATGCACATGACTGCTCAATTATTATGTTATAGTCGTCGCACCCGTGTAACTTTCTGTTGGTGCGGCGGTGGGCATGGCTGCAATCTTTCGAACTGCCTATACACCCTTATAGGGTAGTGCATCTCGACCACGTGGAAGAAAATTAGTGGCCCGTTAAAAAGCCACTCGTCCGACTCTTCCTCAGTGCGAGGACTCAGGTACCCCTCTAGCTCGATTCTGAACCAAGGACACCAATTCACCTGAAAGTTAGGTAACTATAGTTAGGTTTTGTGAATAATAAAAAAGCAACAACACCGACTAGCAGTATCAAAGTGGTCGTTACCTGGTGCTGTGTCAGGACATCTAGCGTGTCCGAGTACTGCCTGTACCGCCGCTTCGGGTTCTCTCTAACTACCTCCGCTTCTTGCCAGACGTACAGAGCAGTTGGTCCTACGTCCACATGATTCCATGCCTGCATGAAATAGGATAGTCGGTCACAAGTGTGGCATCAACTGCAGGAGGTAAAAAAGAATTTTAATGTCCCGCTCTACATTGGCCTCATTCGCTTCGCTGAAAAAACAAGCCAAAACACTGTTCCGGCTGATTTGTTGTGAGAGGAAAATACTGTTTCGGCTGAAAAAACATGCTGAAAAAGACATATTACAAGAGAAGCGAACAGGGCCATTGTGCAACTCTACGTGCTACAAAAATTGATATAATCAATTATAATGTTCATTCATGGAATTCATACTAGATCAGGAAGAGTTCAACATCAAATTAAGGCAGAACTTAGACGTGAGAATGGGGAATTACCAAGCTTGGAATTAGAACCGTGAGTTTGTGACTGGCTGACTGCAGTCTGCAGTTGGAGATGGTGTCACGCTGTGGCGCGCAGCCGGGCAGGTCCAGAGGCGGGCACCAGGGCTGGGCGACAGACCGCAGACGGTTGTAGAGCGCAGGCGCGGAGCAGGCAGCAGTGCAGGGCGTCACGCACGCCGTCAGCCTGTCACCGTGTGTCCGCGGCAGGCGTCGGCCATCAGGACGCCGGGCACTGGCGGGGCATCGATGGTGTGGCAGTCGGGCGCGGGCGCGCTGGGCGGCGCGGGGCGGGCGCAGGCTCGCCGGGCGGGCGCAGCGGGCGAGAGTTGTGGCGGCACGTTTTCTCGTCTAAGGACGAAGACACTAAGAGAGGAAATAAAGGATTTGCCGCACCGTGATGCATGGCGCGGTAGCCCTGCGCCATGATTCGTGGCGCGGCAGTCCCGCCGCGCCGTGACGGATGGTGCGTTAGACCTGTCACGTCAGCGGTCGCTGCAGCAGTTGACTGGCCCTGCCATGCCGCCATGCATGCATGGCGCGGCAGCGTGAATTAGCCGCTCCGTACAAACCGGCGTGTCCAAAAATATTAGTTTTGAAAAAAAAATTAAATAGTGTCCGTTTTAAAAATAGTTAAAAAAAAGTGTTAAAAATAATAATAAAAAATCACACGAGGCGACGCGCATTGCCCTCCCTCAGTCGCCCCACGTTTTACTCGCTACTCTCTACCTGGCCAGGGGAGCCTCCTCTCCTCTCGCCTCAACTCGTCGCACGCCCGCCGCCCGCGCTTGACTTGACCCGCGCACCTCCTCGGCGTCGGGGAGACCGGGCTCGGGCTCGGGCCTCGTCGTCCCGGCGGACGGAGGAGGACCTCGGCCGCAGCCCGGCCGTCGCCAGGGCCCTCGTCGTAGCCCCCGCTGCTCCCGCCGCTCGTCCCGCCGCGTCGAGCATTGGGGATCTCGCGGCCCGTTCGTCTGTAGCCACTGACAACTCGCCTGGGTACCGAACCCTAGCCTCTGCCGACGCCGACGGGAGGAGCTGGGGCTGGAGGGTGTGGACTGTGGACGAAGCTGGTGGTAAGCTCCTCGGCGCCCTGACCCTGTGACGTGGTGCTGCGCGAACGCGTTTGTAAAATTTTGCTCGTGGGTTTTGATTGAACGGCCTTTTCCCTCGTGTTTGGCGCGGCGCTGTGGTGGGTTCGCGAGACGGAATCGCCTGGGTATTGATTGCTTCACGTGTAAAGGAGCTTTTTTTTAGCAGCAAATGGCAGGAGCAGTGCCTTTCCATTATATAAGATAGGATTGTTTAGGGAGCTTTTGGTATGATGGGGTTGGTTGATTTGTTGTTTGACCCTATGGATATGAATTTCTGGAAATGGAGGCTAGATGTTGCTCCGTGTGGTTTGTAATGTAATGTTGCTGTATGTAGATAGATGTGGTTACAGGAACTAGTAGAGCCATAAGGAAGGGAAGCTTTTGCATACCACTAGGGGGCTGCTAGTCATTGGATGATTGGTTGTATGAGTTATTAGGGTCCCTGATTTAAGGAATTGAAGGGGATACCTCAATCACTTGCTACTCAACCAGCACATTGTTAGCCCTAAGAGTTTATTTGTGTGATCAGGGTTAGCCTAGGCTTTTCTGTCCTGCCTGGCTCCCCCTGTTTTTACATGAAACTGTTCCGTGTGGTTGCAATGTTGCTGTACAGCCATAACGAAGGGAAGCTTATGCATACCACTGGGGGCTTCTAGTCGTTGGCTGATTGGTTGTATGAGATATTAGGGTCCCTAATCTAAGGATATTGAAGGGGATACCTTGGTCACTTGGTACTCAACCAGCACATTGTTAGGGTGGGTAAGAGTTCATATGTATGATCAGGGTTAGCCCTAGGCTTTTGTGTCCTGCCTGCTCCCCTGTTTTTAGGGGCATTACGTGAAACTGCATGCTTTTTGTTGTTCTACGTGCTATTGCATGCTATGCTTTTCTTTGTTACGTATTAGACACTTTGTCATTAATATAGATAGAGCTGAGCTACGGCATCACGTGCTCGGGTTTCTATTTTTATCGAAATAACGGCTTCCAGATTAATCGAGGGCACATGTCCGTTACTACTTCCCTTTCCGAATTGTGATGCTGGAAAGTTGTAAATTAATTGCCATGTGTGTTTGTGTCCCTACTGATCATGATATCGGATTTGTTTCTGTTCGGCTTGTTTTATTCCTCCATTGATTATGTTCCGTTTACCGTTGCATTAAAATTCCAGGTTGTTATTTCGCTGATTGAAAGTACTCCATGGCTTAATGATGAACTGGTAATAAAGAGGTCAATCATTGACAACCAGCTGTCCGAGGAGGGTTTCGGAGTTCTTACTAAGAAGAGAGTTACTCATGCTAATCAGCAAAGGACGGACAGAGATCTTGCTTGCTTTACTGAACTGAAGACATGCCCAAAACACCTCCTGTCCAAGCAAGCAAGAACACTGAACTGCAGAAACAATCTGCACCCAACTTAACAATAACAAATGAGCACGCAAGTACGAAGGAAGTGGCTAAAACAGAGCGCCCTATCAATGATGTGAAACACATTACCACTTGGATCTGCAAAAATTTGGCCTGTAAAGCTGTTAGACCATCAGAAGATTCCTTCTGCAAGAGGTGCTCGTGTTGTGTTTGCCACAAGTTCGATGACAATAAGGATCCTAGTCAATGGTTAGTTTGCTCATCTGACAATGATAGCAAGAATTGTTGTGGTTCTTCTTGCCATATTGAATGTGCTTTCCAAGACAAGAGGGTAGGATGCTTTGATCTGGAGCAAATTATACATCTTGATGGGAGTTATTCTTGTGCCTCGTGTGGAAAGATTTCTGGAATACTAGGGTAAAGTATAATTTCTACTTAACTCAAGTCTCATTATTTCTGCTGTATTTTGCTTTGTTTCTTCCCTGTTCGATCATAATATTCTTGTTGGAATCTAGAAACATAATGAACTTGCATTAGATAAATATAGATGTGTTCTTAATATATTATTAAATTATATGAAACATCGCACAAGTGCAGTTCTGCGATTCTTTGTATGCATGTGCAAAAATTAATTCTGCATGGAAAGTGACTAGCTCCACCTCAGTAATAATGAAATTAATGTGAACAAATTCAGAAAGCATTTTTCAACTGTGGTATTTTCTTTACCTTTGATAGAAGTTTCATTCCTATTGATGGTAGATAAATAATTTTGTCAAACCATTTTAGAACATGCAACATTCAAGTTAATTAGGTTACTAGGACCCAATTCATCTTTTCAGTGGATATTCTAGTCGTGCTGTCAGCTTGTGTAGTCATCCAATGTATATAACATTGTGTAGATGCAAGGGTCCTTTGTTGGTAAAAGTTGTAAAATGTACATCCTTCATTTTTATATATATGACATTTACGACAAAGCTAATTTAGTTTCATTTTTTTACCTAATTAGCTTATCCTAAATGTCATATATTCAAAAATGAAGGAGTACATCTTAGATGGGCGCATTCCAGGCAGAGAGCTCCCGCTGCCTGCAGTGGGTCAGGGAAGGTGTCGATTGGCAAGCCTTACCTCGCTTTGTGCAATGCGAGGAGACCATGATCGAACCCGGGACCTTCCGGTCACAGCGGTAAGACTCTACCGCTTGCACCAGGCCCGCCCTTCAAAGATGAATAAACCTAAAAGGCTGAATAAACCTAAAAGGCTGAAATTATCTTTTCCAATTTTTAGTTCTTTGGAGCATGAAGTTGTTTGATTAGCCTAACACAGGTGCTGTGTACAACATACCAGCACGTCAAAATTTTGGTCTAGTAGTTTTTTATTATTTTAATTGAGTGCCTGATCTTAAATTGTAATAATTTACATATAGATACAGTATTTACTTGCGACATTATTGGGACACCTTCTGTGGCTTGGTCATTCTTGGTAGACTTGTATTTACTTGGGACATTATTGGAACACCTGCTGTGGCTTGGTCATTCTTGGTAGACTTGTTTAATTGACATATGTATTCTTTGTAGCAGATATTGGAAAAGGCAATTAGTAATTGGAAAAGATGCTCGCCGAGTTGATAATCTCTGCCAACGCATTTATTTGAGCTACAGGCTATTAGAGGGAACTATCCATTTTAAAGAACTGCATGAGATTATCAAAGATGCAAAAGCAAAATTGGAAAGTGAGGTTGGCCCACTTGATGGAATGTCGGCAAAGAATGCACATGGTATCGTAAGCAGGTTCTCATCTGGTATTGCTGTGCAGAAACTATGCTCTACAGCAATTCAAAAAGCTGATGAGTGGTTGAGTTCTCCTGACCTGCATCTTCGAGGTGATGATCATTCTTACATAAAATATTAGTATAATAGTTTTGGTGTTGCTTCAGAAGACTTATGCACTTTTTTCTTTGCAGATTCATTACCTGTTGCCTGTAAATTTAAATTTGTAGACATAAAATCTTCTTCGCTCATTGTCATCTTGAAAGAAACCTCGTCTTCTGACACTATCAAAGGTTATAAGCTATGGTACTGGAAGAGCAGAGAGCAACCAAGTAGGGAAAAGCCTGTTATTGTGTCCAAAGATGAAAGAAAAATACTACTTTTTGACCTTACCCCATGCACAGAATATTCTTTCAGAGTTATATCATTCACAGATGATGGGGTACTTGGGCATTCAGAATCTAGATGTCGTACTGAGAGCAGGGAGATATTTGCCATGCGTGCACCACAGAATGCAGTGGGAAGGGATACACAGGCACAAAAAAGAGACAGGAATCAGTCTTGTAAGTCAACTGGGTTCAAGATCCGAGATATTTGGAAGAACTTTCAGGAAGCTTTGGATGCAGAAGGCTGTTTTGAAGGGTTTTCTGAAGATGTGCATGAAGGTTCCTGCAGCAGAAGTGTTACAGAGACTGAATTATCTGGAGCTTGTCGCAAGCTTCATTTCAACTCATCATCTTCTGTCCCCGACCTAAATGCTGAGGTTCCTGTGCCCATGGACTACACCACTGAGAAGCATTATTATTCTAAGAAGGGACTTGTCAGATCAAATGACAGTGGTGACTCTGAGACCTGCGCAGTTGGCCACACTGCAGAGCCGCCTGCTGTTGAATCTCGGCCAGTAGGCAAGGTGAATACCGTACAAGTTAATAAATGTGAGCAGAATGGTGCTTCTGCTATTTGCCATGAAAAAATGCTCTCTGGATCAACGAGGCAACTGGATGGGGATTATGAGCACTGTGTAAAGGTAATAAGGCAGTTGGAATGCGATGGACACATTGAAAACGGTTTCAGGATGAAGTTCTTGACCTGGTATAGTCTAAGATCGACAGACCAGGAGCGCAAGGCTGTGACCACATATGTCAAAACATTAAGCGACGAACCCAGCAGCCTGGCTGAGCAGCTCGTCGATTCTTTTGGAGAAATCTTAAACAGCAAGAAGGCAAAAACCGGTTTCTGCAACAAACTATGGCATTAGGTCAAAAGGATTAGAGCTGAAGATACTGCTAACACTGATTATCCATATTTTTCCCTGATCGGTGGCAGTTAAATTCTAGTTTATTCCATCAATCTGACAACAATGAAAAGGGGCATCGGTGAAAATAGGAAATTATTTTAGGCAGCAAATAGCCAGCTCTGAAATAATTCTTTTCCATCAGGAAGTAGTGGAATCTTAATTTCCATTGGATTGCTAGGGTGTATCCTGAAATTATTGTAGAATGTTCTCTCTTTCTTTTTTGTTGTGGCTCATTGAGGAATTCTTTTGGAGATAGTCCGTTGGCTATTCTGGGTTATATCATGGTAAATGGAATTTGATGGTACAAAATATCTGGTTTACTTGTGCTTGTATCGTTTTTGTTTTCTTTACCCTACTGGAATTTTTTCTTTTCTAAAGTTTACAGTTTACACTACTTCATTATGTTGTAGTAGCTCGTGCCCAGGAGCAGCATAACAATAGCTTGTCACTAAATAGTAAATACCAGCATAACAATTTCCATATGCCCGTACCATGAAAATAGTTCCAACTTTACTTCGCCGTCTTTAGAACGTGGTAGAGAAATTGAGTACTCCCTCAATTTCTATGTAAAAAATAAGTACTCCCTCAATTTCTATGTAAATAAGTACTCCTTCAATTTCTATGTAAATATATAGTACCATTGGGGTTCTTTATACTTTTTATAGCTTTTATTTGATTTTTCAGTAAGTAAAGTGAAGAGCTCCTTGTCAAAAACGCTTCAAACATGTCTGGTACGTTTGTCAATTTGCACAAATATCTATATCTATATATAATAATAGTTTAAAGAGTGAATTTTTTTTCTTTTGTATCATTTTCTTTATTTATCAAATTGCCATCGCGTCCTTTTTATACTGTATGTGATTTGGATTTATGACCCGTGTTCGTACGAGTTTGAATAACTTATATTTAACAATAATATGAGTTACATTTCAAAAATTAGATTTCATGTACCGAACGGACACTTTTACTAATCTAAACATAAAAATGATGAACGGTAAAAACCAACAATGACTTATTTAAAAAACAAGGGTTTTTTTCGAAGTTCAGAAACAGAGTAAGAGCGAAGATGGAGTGTTCGGTAATAGTCATCTTCCGAAGCAAAGATGGAGTGTTCGGTAGTAGGGATGTGGACATGTAGTGATCCATTATCATATTAATTCTCTTCTTTTCCTAACCCCAAACAAAAGAAAATGAATATATAGATGTAATGAATACTGCCTACTACCTGCGTATAAACATGGATTCCCAATCTATTTAGGAGGAGTCTGTCTACTGCACAACTATGCGTTTTATGTAGTTTTAACACATAAATTTTTCTGCACCATAGAATTAAGATTCAATAGCCTCCAGCCTCCTTCTACCTCCAGAAGATCACAAATCACAAGATCACAAGATCCACAGATCACAAGAAACAATTTTTTTTCTATGCAAGGACAAAAGGACAAATCGGACGTCCGATCCTTTGGCCGCACGCGTATAGGACGGGCGGTCCTTCTGCTGGCTCTTCGTACAGATCACCTTTCCTCCCCCACGTTCACGCACACACATGCACGCTGCAGACAATGGCAGACAATGCTAGAGGCCAAGAAGACAGTTGAAAAGAGAGAGGGAGAGAGGGAGAAAAAATCTATGTGTTTTTTTCACTAAAACACATGTGTGTTGTATAGCATTCCTGATCTACGAGATAGGATTAGGAACCGAGAAAGCTAGCGCAGAGGACGCCAGGGTAAGAGCACCAGCATTGTCACTGAGGGCAGACCACGCCATCATTTGCCCTAGACTAAAATTTGTGTCCACATACTATGCCAGAAAAAATAAAATAAAACCACCACCCATCTATCACTCTGTTCGCTTGTTCGTTTCTATGGCTTATAAGTCGGCTGATATTATTTTGTTATGAGAGAAAAACACTGTATCATGACTGATAAGCATGGCTGTTACGATCAAGCGAACAAGCTGTATACATGTGTGATCATTTGTGGTCCTATAACACTGTTTGGACTCTTCCCAAGCAACCACTTTCTCTCAATAACAGGCCTGTTCGCTTGTCTGAATTTTGGAGGAATTTGGATGGTTTGGAGGAATGCTGGAGAAATTTATGAGAGAAAAACACTGTTCCGGATGAAAAAATAAACGGATCAAGCCGGATTTAAGAACACGCGAACGAGCCAACGTGTTCTTCACCATTCACTTACTGTAGACAACCAACAACCATGAATATATACCTGTGAGGCCACCACTCTGCGTGACATGGCCCTGTTCGCTTGTCTTATGAGCCGTACTATTTCAGCGAACAAATATTGTTTTTCTCTCACAATAAATCAACGAACAGTGCTTTTAGCCATGACTTTTCAACAAAGCGAAGAGGCCGTAAACCTAGACTAGATGGCCTAGGTGGATGCTACGCAGTACGCCGCCTCCGTGTTGCGTTGGGGAAGTCATGAGGCTCGAAACGTCATATCTCTGGCACCTTTTCATCTATGTCTTTTTTGTTCACAGTGTGCGCTCAACGCCTAGAACAATATATGCAGCTTACTCGCCTAGAACATGCATACTTTTCTCCCCGTCCACAGGCAAGCACTGGATGAGAAATTATTTCTCTTCTTCCTTCATGCAGCATATATATTTTAGCTTATTGCATCCTTGTCATACTAATCTAGATTGCCATAGATCTCTGCTCGTTTGCATCGAAGTGATTTTATTGACCAATCCCACACTGTACCTCGATCTATGGTTGCCCTTCGACTTTACTTATGTCATTCCTTTATTTTATTAGATGTTTGCACATTATTGATTACCTATATTTTTACGACGTACGCGCACACACCCACAACAGGACATGAGGACAATCAATAGAAGAAAAATAACTATTGTTTCATTGTACGTATACACAATAATCACCATATACATAGTAGGCCCATGCAACAGTATTTAGATGGCTTGATTGAGCCACCTAGGCTAACTTAATTACCACAATCACACTTAGACACCGGTAGTTCAGGATATAGACCAATGCATCCTTTCAAGACATGTCCAGATATAACTCTTTGAGACAACCCTTCTTTCACCAATTATCTCTATGCATCATGTTCTTCGTACCCAGCACGTCTTGTTGATGTGGTGTCGTGCGTGCCGCACGTATAGCCTCACACAACTTTGAGCTTTAGGAAAAAACCATAACCAAGTGTCCAATTAATATCATGGAAAACTCTAGGACTTTATACATGTTCATAGTAAGTTAACCTACATAATAAGTTGCATGGAATTAGATGTCGATGAAGGGGAAATGAAAACATTAAACAACTAAACGATATTGTGCCTCGATCTATCCCGATCAAAAAAAATTCACTCAAATTAACCATCCAACCATGAAACCCTAAACACTACTAAAACTGATATATTAATGTAAGCATTTTTAAATACGTGAGTACAACAAGGGCATATACCTTGTAGGAGTGTTCTCCCCTTCTCCTTCATTTGATTGTTGAGAAGGGGAGATGGGGATTAAGACTGGAAGAGTTGCAGCTCGAGGAGGAAGGAAGAAAGAAAGAAATGGGAGAAAAGGGCAACCATCGGCTGCCACTGTATGGCCCCTGCCACACCAAGAGGGCTAGCGTGTCAAGGTCGCTACGTCAAGTGAGTTGGCGCAGCAAGGGTAGCCAACACGGCATTCATCGTGGCTTGGACTGCCACGTTAGCGGGCTTCCTGCGCCACATATACTGGCGTTGTAGTGTAGTTTTGCCGTGCCAGACACGATAGTGTAGTCAAAAGGGTTAGATTCGAAAATAAAAGTGAAGATGGATTAATATTAAAATATTATTAAAAAGGATTAAAAATTATTAAAAAACCTAGGGGATCTAACCGTGCAGGTACCTAGAGCCACGGTGGATTTGAAATTTTGAAGACAGGCATACCTGCAGGAGTGGATCTAGCACTACATCGATCGGGGCTCGAGCCTCTTTTGCCGTCACCGGAAATAAGGCACACCTCTTCTAAGTCTCTCAACAAATTTATAGTCATTAGAACTTAGAAAGAGGGCTAGATATAGAAAATAAAAGAGATAGACTGTCTCTTAGCGTATGGTGTCAGATCCCTCTGCACTGCATTCCGACAGGATGTGGCGGTGCAAGATCGGCAAGCGGCCAGGCCCAGTAGCTTCAGAAGCGACACCGACCAAGGCAGAGGCCGGCGACTGCCGACTGGTGAAAATGATGGGTTCACACTAAAAAGAAGCAGGAGTATGTGTCCGTTCTAAATTTTGAAGAGTCAAAATATCTCAAGTTTAACTAAAATTACAGAAACAATTATAAAGATTTATGACATCATATATTATGAAGCTAGCGATATTTTTTTATATCATAAATATTATTATTTTATCATATAAATTTGGTCAAAGTTGAGATACTTGGACTCCTAAGAGAGTTGGTATATGACTTATAATTTATGACAGAGGGAGTAGATAATATCTTCTTTTATTTGTTGACTCGAAGTACCACATTATTTGTAGCCAGTTAGATAACTTTTTAAAAAGAGAAATGCAGCAGTGTTGAGTGCCAACTAGATAACTTTTTAAAAAAAAAATTGTAGCAGCGAAATGACTAATAACATTTAGGGTTGAGTGCTCGGATTTTAAAATCGAGAGATACAAGTCTGGACAGCAAGCAGAGGGATATTGAATTCCGGTAAGCCTGTCGACTTTCACGAAAATTTCTCTTACGCCAGTATTAGCGTCCGGATATCCGGACACCCGCGTGCACTCCGTTTCGCACGCTCCACGTGGGGTCCACGCCGCCCGAGCGACAAGAGGGGAAGGAGCGGCGCTTCCCATTCGGAAGGACCTGGCGACTGTCGATCGGTGGCGAATGATCGCATCTAAAGTGAAAATGATGGGTTCACACGTCATATAAAAAGAAGTAGGAGTATGTGTCCGTTCTAAATTTTGAATAGTCAAAATATCTTAAGTTTGACTAAAATTACAAAAACAATTACAAAGATTTATGACATCATATATTACGAAGAATCTAACGATATTTTTTGATATCATAAATGTTATTATTTTATCATATAAATTTGGTCAAAGTTGAGATACTTGGACTCCTAAGAAAGTTGGTATATGACTTATAATTTAGCACAGAGAGAGTATATAATATCTTCTTTTATTTGTTGACTCTTGAAGTACCACATTATTTGTAGCCAGTTAGATAACTTTTTAAAAAGAGAAATGCAGCAGTGTTGAGTGCCAACTAGATAACTTTTTAAAAAAAAATTGTAGCAGCGAAATGACTAATAACATTTAGGGTTGAGTGCTCGGATTTTAAAATCGAGAGATACAAGTCTGGACAGCAAGCCGAGGGATATCAAATTCGGTAAGCCTGTCGACTTTCACTTAAAATTTCTCTTATGTCATTACTAGCGTCCGGACATCCGGACACCCAGCGTGCACTCTGTTTCATGACGCTCCACGCAGGTCCACGCCGCCGGAAAGCGATAAGAGGGAAGGAGGCGCCTCCCATTCGGAAGGACTTGGCTGCGGCGTGTATGGATGCCTGCGCGTGGAGGAGGACACACCAAGACGATGCAAACAGAAGACGAGGAGGAGAGATGCAATACCTGATCTGCTTTTGAAACATTCAAATACAACAGTTGCAACATACGTTTGAAGACAGATGAAACACTTGAAACATGCTTATGAAACACTTGAAAAGAACACCTGAAAACACTTGAAAACTATTGCAAACATACGCAACATCCACATAAAACACATGCAATGTTTGTGTGAAACATATACAACATACAAATAAACACACTTGCAGCATACATCCGAAAAACACAGATGGAACATTGGTAACATATGCAACATCCCGATCTACTTTTGCAATATCCATACAAAACACTAGCAACATACATCGAAACACTTTCAAACATACGCTTGCAACATGCGCTTTCAAAGAAAAACATGGCAGCTAAGCGAAGAGAGCACGACACAACGGAATCCCGGTTTGTGCGGTCACGATGGAGGAGGATGGCAACAGACGGACGGCTATGCGGTTCGGCGATAGGGAAGCGCCTGCGTTCCGCGGTAAGGATGAAAAGCGGTCGGAAACGGTGAAAAACTCCTAAATTGTTTTCTACTTTTACATTTGAAATACAAAAACGAAAGCTTAAAGCGGTAAAGCCGGGACACGAAAACGAAGCGAACTTATTTAAATATCCGAATTTCAAAACGAACTAATTGAGCGGATTTATGTCGAACACGGTCGATATCTGAAAACTCAATACGGAATACCGACCCGTAGGACCAAGTGCATGACTAAGTGCATGCATGATCAAGTTCAAGTGCATATAATAATTAACAAGTGCATATTATAGAAACATGAACTCGAACTGAGTCAGAATAATTTTATTATTTTTTTTGGAATAGATGTAGTATTTTATTTTAAAGATTTATTCAGATTTTTCTTTTGAGTAACAAAGATTTATTCGGCTGAGGTAAAAACTATCAAATGATTGACTTTGCAGGTGGGGGTTAAACCGATGAGCTTGATGGGCTATGGCCCAGGTGGGCTTTTCGTGTAGATGCTGCTGGCTTCCTACCATTTAGAACCACCTCGTGAGGTGAAGGGAGATGAAGCTAGGCACCGTCTATAAGAGAGGGCAGCTGGCCACCAGTAGAAAGAACGCAACTGCGTGGTGAATAACCTGTAATTGGGCTGTATGACCTGTGCAGTTGACCAATTTTCAATTCGGAATATTTCAAATTAAAAGTAGAAAAGTAGAAAACGGTCGAAAAATGTCTAAACCATTTTCTACTTTTACATTTGAAATATGAAACATCTGAAATGCGAAAGCGAAAACGGTAAAGTCAGATAAGAAAATACGGATTCGATCGGATTAAATATAGAAAATGATACGGTTCAGTTCGGGATATTTCCGTTCCGTTTTCATCGTTACCCGCGGGGGAGGCGACGGCAGCAATCGGGTGACACTGAAATACACGATATTAAAATAGAGTAAAAGTTTCACACTAGAGAACACTCTGAAGAACGTGTATCGGACAATTTACCGAAAATGAGACACAACTCTGTCACGCAGGATACACATGACCTTCAGATATTTCTATCTATGTGCATGTTTTGTCGTTCACATCAAAACTGCAAGAATATGAGAATTAATAAATGCGATCGCAGAGTGAGGATTTCACATCTCTGAGACCTTCAGGAACCTCGATCTGTTAAGTTTCTCAACAGTGAACTCTGACTACATCCGCCACTTTGTCCTCCGTTGTGCAAGTCATTGCAGTATTCTGGCTTTGATGAGGCTAGCAGCTTAGCACACCGTTGACAACTTGCCCCTCATTCAGTTCAGGCAACTTTTCAGGTTATACCATGGCAACTGGAACAAAAGACGTCTGAAAACTTGCGGCAAACGTTCAGACACTAGTTCTCAGGGAAATCATGCTTATTCCTCTAGCTCCTCAAGATTTCCATTGGACAAATACATGAGCAATGCGGCCAATGAAAGAATCTGGATCAGTGGTTTGACAGTCATTGGAGCTGACCTTCATGCACCACATATCAACATTACTCTTTCTTGAGTTCTCAGTCACTGTCCCAACTTTCATCAGTATTTTTCTTCATTTTACCAATCTTGCCATCGTTTCTCCTGTTGTCATCACTGTCCTCACTACTGCTGTGGAAACTTGGGAAATTCACCTTTGGGGCTCTTGAGTTTGTTTCCTTCCCCTTATAATCTGACCCCCACAGGTCATCATCTTCGGTGTCTAACTCATCACCGTTGCTGCCTCTGAACATAGTGCCATCGGAACCATTGACTGAATTCCCTGGAATCCGATTGGAACCTCTGAATCCCCCAGGAATGGAATTCTGCCTGCCACTGGATCTGCTCTTCTCATTCCTCATACTTTTGAACTGTCGAGGATGAACATCAGATGCGTCTATATCATTGTCGAGTCCAAGAACATTATCACTGTCATCACCAGAGTCCCATTCTCCACCTGATGCCTCGATCTCACTATCATCATCCCACCTCCTTGCATCTGATGTTCTTTTGTTGTTGTTATTATCTCTCCTATGTCTTCCCTGGCCTCTATTGAGAACATCTGAGTTGCCATAGCTTCTATTGAAACCCTTCCCCTCGCCCACTTCTCCCCTAGGAACAAAATCCTGTGTCCGACTGGATCTGCTCTTCTCGTTCCTCATGCTTCCAAATCGTCGAGGATGCTCATCAGTAGAATCTCTATCATTGTCGAAGCCCAGAGCATTACCCCTGTCATCACCAGAGTCCCATTCTTCACCTGATGCCTCGAACTCGCTATCATCATCCCACCTCCTTGCATCTGAAGTCCTTCTGTTGTTGTTATGCTCTCTCCTATATCTTCCCTGTCCTCTATCCTCATAATCTGAGTTTTCATAACTTCTGTTGAAACCCCTCCGATCACCTATATCTTCCCTCTCCCAATATCGCATTCTTGAAGATTCTTCTTTCTCTGCGGCCTCTTCTTCCTCCCATTGCTTCTCTGCTGCACTTTCTATCTCTGAAATGAACCTGTCAAGCTCCTCCTGGTCACTATCTTCAGATGGTTCATCACGTGGTTCTTTTATTTCAGAAGTCCCAGCAGAAGGTTGTGCGTCCCCACGGAAAATATAGGGAGTACCTTGCTGCTCATCTATGGCTCGGAAGAACGTAGAGGCAACACGCTGAATGCTGGCCATAGCAACTGGGTCCTCTGGATTGATACCCTTACGACGGAGTTGAGTTTCTATTTTCTTGATGTTTAATTTCTGCGATTCAAGTGCTTGCTCAAATCTAGCCTTGAATAATGCCTGCAACAAGAATACTTGTATCAAGCCCCATGAGCCATAACAAAGAATAAACAATGTAACTAAATTATTCAGTAACTAAAAGTCTTCTTAATACACAGATCGCGAGAAAAAGTCTTGCAAAGATGGAGATAATCGATTTGATGGGAAAGAAGGATACTCCATTGGAGTTAACCATATGAAACCTAAACAAACCAGTACTCTAGGAATTGGTTATTCACAAATGCCATACAGAGCACATGCATTATCCAGAGCAAGTGGTAAGTAGAATGGAAATAGCAAGGAAGTGCTAACTGAGACAGACACATCAGTTGCAAGGGACTGACCTTCCTTTTGGTAAGTGTATTGAAAGGTATAAGGTTCTTTGGTTGACGGTAGTTTCTTCCTCGAAACATGATGATTGTTTTGGTATTATGAATGTTGATCACTATTCCACCACTCAATCTTGTCAGCATTGCTGCCATTTCCTTAATTTTTTCCTTTGGGAAGTTGTCACAACAAACTTGTACCGTCTCATGGAATTTCCAGTGCATATGCATGTTTTGAACAACACCTCCAAAGACTCCACGAACTCCAACAGGCACATAGTTTCTATTTCTGAATCCAATCTTCTTGTAGGCTTGTAGTTGCTCTGCCGTTAACAGCTCAGGATCATGACGAGGAGCTGGTAAGTCTGGTAGCTCATACTTCTTGAGCTTCTGTAGGAGCAAAGCCACTTTTTTCTTGGCCTAGATAAAAGGAAACGGAGAATATGATAAGTCAAGGACTTTGCTACTAAAAGAATAGACCAAAGACAATAGACGATGTAGTTTACTTAGATTCTCATGATATATCTGGAAATTACTATTTTTTATTTTTAACAGGGGTGCCAGCTCAGCTAGTGTTAAGCACCCAATCATTATACAAATAAGCCATATATTTTTTGTTATTTATTGACACTGATTTTTCTTCAAGCCTAAAAGAATGCAAGCACTGTGTTCAGTACATAAGAAATGCTCCATAGGGCTTCAAATATGCCATGATATATGCACGACATACATATTAGCACATAATTTTTGGATTTGAAAACCTTATAAATCATGGGAACTGTATCAAGCTTAAATATGTGTACAAAAGGTGTGGTTGACTTTACAATCTTCTATGTTAGCTATTTGATTCCTTCTGATAAACAGAGCAAAACCCCCAAAAGGGAGGCCGTATCGTATCGTGGATTATTTACTGCTGGCTGGTTTGGTGTGAGAGAAAAACACTGTTCTCGGCTGGAAATTTACGATCGTTTACGAGCAAGCGAACAGGCTGTATATAGCTGTATTCACTATTTTCTGGGATGAACAATTACTTGTGCCAGTACCTCAATACCAATAGTTTTTCTTTAACATTACACCCTACATTCCCGATTCCTCTCCATAAATCATATAGAGAGCAACACTTTCAACAACAACAAAAAGAAAAAAAACCATAACAATTCAACGAATCGCGTCCCACTTGGAAGAGGCGGGTCACTACTGATTTTCACGAGGGAATGAAAAACGGGGGGCAATTTGGGGCCTCCTTACCCTGCGCAGGTTGTAGATGAGCTTCTCGTCCTCGGTCATGAGCTTCTTCCTGAGCTTGACGGCGCGGCGGAGCTCCCGCTGCGTGCGGCCGGTCTCCCTCGCCATCCGCTTCTCCACCTTGCTCCGCATGCTCCTCCCCTTGGTCGACATCGCCCGCCGCCACGCGCCGTCGGCTCCCGCTCCTGCCGCCGGCAGCCCCGCGGGCGCCGGAGCGGAGCCCGAGGCCGCGGCCACCGCCTCGCCCCTCGCGGCGAAGCGCCCGGAGCTGTCCCGCCGCAGAAACACAAACGCGCGCGCGTCAACAGAGATCGAGAGGGATGGGGGGAGAGCCGGTGCTGCTGTTCCGGAGTCGAGGGAAGGGGCGGAACGCACCTGCGGCGGAGCGACGGCGAGGCTGCCCGGAGGAGGCCCCGGAGAACCCACATGGCTGGTTGGGCGCCCCCGCCAACAACGGCGGTTGTGGGAGCTCTTCTGGAAGGCGCCGCCGCGTCGGGGCGGAGGCGAGGTGGGTTTAGGAGGCGGCGGCGCGATAAACCCTGGCCTGGTGGTGGGGACGGCGGGGGTGGGTTGGGCTGTTGCCGCTGTGCGGGTGCGGCCGGGGGGAGCAGGAGCTTGATTGGCCGTCGGATGTGAGGGGGTGTCCCTGAGCCGTTCGATCTGATGGGTCAGGACAACGGCGCGGCTGCAATGCAAAAATGCAGTCACTGTGGCAGTGAAACCCAAACTGAAGCTCTCCTGGGAAACAGCTTTCAAGGAAACTGTGAAAACCTTTTGAACCAGCACTATAGAAAAGGCAGGGGCTGCGAATTCAGGCCTCGTTTGGTTCATACAAGAAACGGAGAAAAAACATACGATTGAGAATCCTATAGGAACTGCTACTATAGGAATTGCTATTGTTCATGACCTTTTTTTCTTCTTCTAAAAATACTGTTTATGCCTTTGGTTTACATGAATGGAGCATAGGAATAGTGTAGAAAATTTTCCTTTCAGTACTATTCTTGAGGAAAACTATAGAAAATTTAGCATCTACTCAAATCTCTTGGTAAAACTCCTAAGTTTTTCCTATGAATGCTGTTTTTTAGGAAAACTATAGGAAATTTAGCATCCACTCAAACCTCTGGGTAAAAATCCAGCGTTTTTCCCATGATCCGTCCAAATGATCCGTCCCTTCAAATCCCTGTGTTTTTTTCAGTCGCGTGTTCTGCATTTGCATTCCTGTGTAATTACTATAATAATTTTTCTATTCCTGTGTTTCAAAGGGGGCATCAATGATCTTTTTTGTTTGGTGACTATAATGAAGTTGGGATTTAAATACTAACTTCAATTCAAAATAATATTGCAATGCCAGATATTTGCGCGTAGCTAGGATGAGAATGCAAATGCATTTCTTTTTCTGAAGGGCTCTGCTTATAAGAAAGACGAATATTCAGGCATGCATGAGAACTGAGAACGCATTTTTCATCGACAGAAGAGAAATCTAATTTGCTAAAGAAAATAAAAAGAGAAATCTAACAAGTGTGCTATCGCCTATCAGGCCCTGCAGCCTTGTGCATACATTGATGAAACCGGCATTGCTAATTTGCTATCACTGAAACTACAACAGCAACTTCCAAGGAAAGAGCTTAGAGACGACCACGACGACGACTAACCAATTTTCTCGTCGTCTTGTTGCTGCAAACCATATCCAGTTATCCCTATGTGGAAGAACTCACTCCACGATGTGTGGATAGAATCCTAGAACTGCCTCGTCCACGAACTAGAATTTCCACCGAGCTGAGCTGAGCAAGAAACCAAGAACACAGACGCGCACACTCTGGGTTTCCTTCCTGCTTCCTTTGCTTGCTTGGTTGCGTCCATGGCGGAGGTTGCAGCGGTCGGTGCGCCATCTCCACACTGGGGTGGATCGCGTCACCCATCACCACCAGGCTTCGGACGAGTCAGAAAAGCTGCGCGATCTGGAGGAACGCCTTCTCCCGGCTGGAGCTGATGCGGCAACGGGCCGAGAAGATCCCTCCCGGACAGCGGGATCGTCTGGAGCAGTGGGCGAGGAGGCTCAAGTCCGCCTTCTACGACGCCGAGGACATCCTTGACGTCGCCGACTATCACCGCCTTGAGAAGCAGGTTACAAGTCCACCTAGCTAATAGCTATAGTAGAATTGCAATTCCAGATTTGATAATCAAAACTCTCTGAAACTGAAAATCAAACAGTTAGAATAATCTCTGTTCAGAAAAAAAAATGAAACTAAGGCAAGAATAATCAGATGATGCACTTAGCAACTGTTGCATAACTTTTTTCGCACTCTAGTTTATCAATACCACAGCATCCAAATGTCATCTAAAACTTAAGTGTCAGTGTGTAACATTTCAATCGTTTCATGCAGGTCATGTCTCAGTCGGGAACCAAGTCAGCAATAACTATAAACCGTGTGAAACAAATCACCTCTGGAAAACAGAAAACTGAAGAATGCTCTAAAGAAGTTGGAAAACATAATTGAAGAAGGGTCTCAGCTTTTGTCACGCTGGCTTTAGCACCATTACTAGTGGTAGTAGTAGCAATGACATATCAGATCCTGCAAACAGCGCAGCCAGGATTGCCACTACTTCATCTGTGACAGGTTTCATAATTGGTAGAGACAAGGAACGTGATGACATAAGAAGGATGCTCCATGAAAGTGTTTCCTAACCAGCCTCCAGTAACAGCAAGTGTTATTCAGTGATTGGTATCTCACGGTATTGCTGGTTCTGGGAAGACAACACTAGCACAACATGTTTGTACCTTTGAGCGAACAGAGAACTATTTTAAACCTATCATGTGGATTCAGGTTAATCAGATTTTCAGTGTGCATGGAATTTATTGTCAGATGCTTGAGGCAGCTTTAGGGAGCCATGCCATGACTACAGTAATCTTGACACCCTACAGATGAAGTTAGAGGAAGCACTGAGAGGCAAAAGGTTCCTGTTAGTCTTGGATGATGTATGGACTGCGAAGGATGACAAAGATGAATACCAATTGGATCAGCTACTTTCTCCGCTTGAGGTCGGGAATACAGGGAGTAAGGTCCTGCTCACGACTCGATTTGTCGATGCAGCTAAGTATCTACGTTGTCATAGCCCTATCTTAATACCTGACTTGAACGAGATGGATTTCTTCCACCTTTTATGCATTATGCACTACATGACACAAATCTTGGTGACCAAGAATCAGAAACTTAAGATAATAGGCGGAAGATTGCAAAAAAAAAACTGAAGAGGTCACCTACCATAGCAGCAAGAGTAGTAGAGCACAACCACGTAAAACAATTAAAAGCTACCATTTGGAGAAGAGTTGAAGATCATGACTTGTTGACAGATACCATGGGAGCTCATGATGGAGCTATCAATACCTTGATGAGCATGTTAGGAGGTGCTTTGCATATTGCAGCATATTTCCCCAAGGAGACAAGTTTGGACGTGCACTGAGTTAGTTGGCTTATGGATGACAGAAGGCTTTATAAAAACTACAGGTACTGTTGAGGAAATGGAATATATAGCACATGGCTACTTTTGATGAACTGGTGTCATGCTCATTTCTGCAAACGAGGAAAATACACAAATAGCACCAATGAGAATGAGTGGGTTACTACTCATGATCTTCTCTGCATGAATTGGCTACCATGGTTGCTGCAAAATGATTGTAACCAATTGATGGCAGTGAGATGAAATAGTTCCTCCTGATCAATGTATCTTTTGTGAGGTTGAACGAACCAATGAAGTTTATCAAGCAGATTTGCAAATTAGAAAATTTACGCATTAATTAATCATTGCTAGCATTGAAGGTCTGACTATAATAACCATACAAGAATTTGAGGGAATTTTGAAAAGTTAAAGAAATTGAGTGTTGTGCATGTGCCTCTACAAGGCAAAATGGTGAAGAATCCCTGCCTGTATTTGTGACTAAAAACATCTACATTCTTCTCACCATCAATGCCTTCACCAACAGTTTGTACAGTCAGATACATTTGCCAAGACATTTTGATAACCATATCATCTGCAGATCTTTAGAGCCCCAGGGTGAAGGTTTTTAGAATTCTCCAACGAAGAACACGGAGTAGCATGAATAGCTTGAGACACGTCAAGAACTCCAGACATCGCTTTATTTCATTTTTCTAAGGTTTCTCATGCTTCCTGGGGTGCATGAGATGAAATCACTTCAAGAATTGGTGACTTTAGAGTGAGGAAAGAAGCGGGCAATGAGTTGCAGCAGCTGGAGGGACTAAATCACCTTTTGGCAGCCTGGGAGAATCAGTGCCTTGAAAATGTGGAAAGCAAGGAGAGAGCACTAGAAGCCAAGCTATCTGACAAGGAAGTACCTGACAACATTGATACTTGAATGGCCATTGCAGCCGCCTTAGCTAACATCCAGACCTCAAGCGGAGGTAATTGAGGGTTTCTCCTGCCCACCGGCCACAGCTAACAAAACTATTAATATATGGCTACAGAGGATGGAAGTGCCCAAGCTGGTTGGAGCAAAAGTTTAGTAGCCTCTGTATGCCTCAGAACTCGAGAGCATTGTGTTAACCTTGAAGCTCTCTCCCTGATATCAGTGAGCTTTTCATTCACCTTGATGAAGCTTAGACTTATTGCTCTTCACAGGCTAAAGAAGTTGCCAAGACTTCCAGATAGCCTGAAGAGCCTAGCCATCTATAATGTGAGGCTATGGTTATAGACATGTGTGGAAGATGTGAAGCTGATGAGGTCACTTTTCAAATTCAATGAGTCAGCCTCAGAAATCCCGAGCCATCCTTGCAGATTACAGTACATCCTGAGGAGATACATCGGTTTGCTCAAGAGCAGCCTGAAAATTTGACGCAATCTTATGCAGCATTTTTGGAAGCACATGTGCTAGTTTTCCTGCTAGGTTTATCCCGAGGTTGTGATAACGGAGGAAGATTACTCCCACTTCTTGTGTCCTCGTCATTAGATTCCCTCGTTATCTCATATTGTGTCATCACTGATTTTAAGTCCTCCATAACTAGTGGAGGCGTTTCTGCATCCTAACTTGAGTTGTGTAATGTGTCTTCCCTTTTTCAGAGCAATCCTCAGA